ACTAATGGACCACAACTACCACAGCCTCCACCAGACTGAGTCCAGCACAACTAGATGGTGCCCAGCTACCACCACTGACTGCTCTGACGGGGATCACAACAGAGGGTCCTGGACAGAGCTGCAGAAAAATGTAGAACAAAATTCTAACTCACAATAAAAGACTTACTGGCCTGACAGAGACTGGAGAAACCCTGAGAGTACAGCCCCCGGACACCCTTTTAGCTCAGTATACAGTCACTCCCGAGGTTCACCGTTTAGCCAAAGATTAGACAGCCCCATAAAACAAAACAAGACTAATGGAACACAACAGCCCAGGGACAAGGACTAGAAGGCAGAAGGGGACAGGAAAGCTAGTAACAGGGAACCCAAGGTCAAGAAGGGAGAGTGCTGACATGTCATGGGGTTGTTAACCAATACCATAAAACAATATGTGTACTAACTATTTAATGAGAAACTATTTGTTCTGTAAACCTTCATCTAAAGTATAATAAAAAAAATTTTTTTAAATATTGCCAATAACATAGATGGAAAAAAAAACACCCAAACCCATTGCTGTCGAGTTGATTCCAACTCATAGCCACCCTATAGGACAGAGTAGAACTGCCCCATAGGGTTTCCAAGAGGCACCTCGTGGATTTGAACTCCATAGTAGCCATAGCTCTTAACCACTGTGCCACCAGGGTTTCCTCCATCACCACAAGGATCCCTCATATAGCCCTTTTACAGCCACAACGACTTCCTTCCCACCCCCACGCTCTCCTCTTCAGCCAGTTACCATCCAGTCAATTCTGACTCATGCCAACCCCATGTATGTCAGAATGCTCCTTAGAACCAAGGATGGTGAGACTTCATCTCACATTTCTGGATATGTTATCAGAAGGGACCAGTCCCTGGAGAAGGACATCATGCTTGGTAATGCTGAGGGTCAATGAAAAAGAGGAAGACCCTCAAAGAGATGGATTGACACAGTGGCTGCAACAATGGGCTCAAGCATAACAACGACTGTAAGGGTGGCGCAGGACCAGGTATTACATTCTGTTGTACACAGGGTCGCTGTAAGTCGGAACCAACTTGACGGCACCTAACACCAACGGTGGCTGATCATATTGAACATCTTTTTACATACTTATTTGCCATCTGTCCATCCTCTTCGGTCAAATATCTCCCTGTTTTCTGCCTACTTTCTAAATGGCTTTTTTTTACTGTTGAGCTTTGAGAGTTCTTTATATATATCATAGACATTATTCCTTTTTCACACATGTGGTTTGCAAATATTTTCTCTCACTGTGTAGCATATCTTTTCATTCTCTTAACAAGGTCTTTTACAGAGCAAAGGTTTTTAATTTGATGAAGTTCAATTTATCGATTTTTTCTTTTACGGATTGTGTTTTTGGTCTAAGAACCCTTTGCCTAGTCCTAGATTCCACAGGTTTTCGCTTATGCTTTTATCCTAAAAGTTTTATAAGTTTTACGTTTTACATTTAAGTCTGTGATCCACTTTGAATTAAACTTTCATATAAGGTATGAGACTTAGGTCAAGGTTTTCTTTTGTTTTGCCTATGGATGACCATTTGTTGAAAAGGCCGTCTTCATCCAATGAACTGTTTTTGCAACTTTCAACAATCAGTTGGGCATATTCCAGAGTTCTCTGTTGTGTTCCACCAATCTGTGCATCTATGTCATGCCAACACCACAGTTTTGATTACAGCAGCTATATAAACCCAAACCTGTTGCCATCGGGTCATTTCTGACTCACAGCGACCTTATAGGACAGAGCAGAACTGCCTCATAGGCTTTCCAAGGAGCGGCTGGTGGATTCAAACTGCCAGTCTTTTGGTTAGCAGCCAACTTCTTAACCACTGCGCCACCAGGGCTCCGTAACTATATAAGAAGTCTTGGAATCAGGGGAACTAGTTTCTCACACTTGGCTCTTTTTCAAAATTGTTTTAGCTCTTCTAGTTCCTTTGCCTTTCTACACTGTCAGCACTGAGTAAGCAGTGCTGCCTGGAAATAAGTCTGTGAACACTCAACAGAGGGAATGTTTACGCTGAGTCCGGAAGGATGAGAATGAGCTAACCAGGCTAACTAGGAAGTGAAAAGTCAATACAGACAACCAAAACAACAACAAAAAGAATGTACACTAACAGAGAAATATAAAATAACAGAACTTGCTTGGGTAGCTTAAGTAACAGGGAGGTAACTAGAGAGGTGGGCGCAGGCCAGATGAAAGGAGGGGTTCATATGTCATGCTAAGGAACTTACATACTCATTTATAGACAAAGAAAACCATTAAGAGTTTTCAGAAGCGAAACCACATGATCAGATAGGAATTTTAGAAAGCGAATTCTAGCAGCAGTGTGCAGGAGGTGAGATGAGAAGAGCAAGAGACTAAAGGACAAAAGAGAAGGAGAGGAGCTGGGTGAGAGGAGGCCTTTGAACAATTCCAAAGAGAGTGAGGGCCCAACTAAACTAAGACGCAGCAATATGGAGGAACTGAGAGTTCTGAGAACTATTTACCAGGGCTTGGTAACAAATAAAATGTGGGGAATGGTGAAGAAGAAACCTGAGATGTTCACTGAGTTTCTGAAAACTAAGTGATTTAAAACAGTTGCAAGAAACCAATTTCAGTCTTCTCCGGTTCATAGGACTCAAACCCAGAGTATTCTTTCCAAGCTCAGCTTTAGGTCCCATTCAAGGTCAGACTACAATGAAGCACGTGGTTACCTCCAGCACACCACTCTACCCCAACGCCACAAACACCAAGCAGCGCATCATGAGAATTCGAAGGAACCCACAGGGTGAGGTAGGTACCCTAAGTTTTCACAGCTCCCAACAAGTTTTGCGGCAGGGCTGAGAACCACAGCTAAGTGCCAAAGGACTGTCAGTCACCTATCTGGTGGGCCAGAAAGTTAAAAAGCAAAGTAGGCACAATCTGGGTGAAGGAAGAAATGAAAATCCTCAATGTGAGCAATTAGAGGGGTAGAACACAAGTCCCCAGCACAGTGACATGACGGCAGGGAAGTGAAACCCTAGCTGATCAAGCCACTTGTATGTGAAAGGATGCCATGCTATAAATCTTCTCAGAACTGTACGTGCTGAGTACTGGTCAAAGAGTAAAACGTGACAAAGAATTCAACCACCATCACTTATTATGCATTTACCAATATTTACAGAATAGCTACCCGTGTACCAGAAATTATAGTAAATAGAAACATAATTTGTATAGGCCTTTCAGCTTTCAGTAAATTTAAGCATAAATTACAATATATGCTTCCCTCAAGAGAGATGTTATATTTTCTTAAAAATTTAGTACACA